TTATATTAAGAAACAGCTTCATAGTGTGGGTTGGTTATTACCGGGAAGCGCTTAATTACAATAAAATGTGGAGTTAAAGTGACAATTTATTTACTCAAGGTTATGAATATAAATTGGTGTTTCTTACCCATGCATTTTGAAATGGGGAKGTAGAGGCTGGGATCCCAGGAGTTTCTTCAGGCTGGGTGATTTTCTGCAAGTGTCTTTAGGGACCAGSATGGAAACTGAAGCCTGGGAACCAGTTTGCTGCCTTGAGGCCACAGCACACAGTTCCCACCTGCTGCAAGTAATGTGAGTTTTGCTTAGGAAGACGGAGTCCCTTTAATTGCTCCAGAGCTCTGTAACCTGCAATGAACCAACGCTGAGCTGGAAAATAAATCCCTGTTAGTGAACACTTGAAGAGATAAAGAAAATKTTGGGCCCTCTCCTCCCAGTATTTTCCGTGTTTTATAACACCTCTGTCAGTATAAATTTCCATTCACTGAAGAAATTACACTTCACGAGAGCTACAATAGGATTTTAAGACAAATGACACRCGAGCACTGCAGTTTTGTACAGACTTAAGTGATCCAAGTATCTTAATCACGTGCGCAGTATCAAAGTACACGAGTTTGACTTGTTACAACAGTCACACGAGAAAGATTGAGTGTCGTGTGAGGCTGCAAAGYATAAACCATCTCAGCTAAAATTTATTTCAGCACAGGAGGGGCTTCTAACTGCTAAGCGTAATTATTTAAAAGCGGTCTGAGCCGCGCAGCTCTAATGCTGAGTGAAAGCAGAAAACAGCTCTTGAAAACGCTGCTGGTTAGGGCACTTTTTGCGAGCACTGCCTGCTCTTAGCGCTTGCTGCCTTTATTCAYCGCTATTTCCGAAATTCTTGGAAGGCTGATGAAGTTTCTAAGTGTCATCTTGCCAAAGCTGTGACATTGTCTCCAGCGACAACAYTCACTCCTGGGCTTTGTGCTGCAAGCAGAGGAAACATTTCAGCTTTTCGGGCGGGGAAACACCTTCCCGTGAAACAATGTAAACAAGATGGGAGTCAATTCGATAAATGAAATTTCAGGGCGTCATTTACCCCGGGTGACAATCCCCCGGGGTCCGGGTGTCACGGGTGGGTCGGTTCGCTCGGTGCAGCATCGCCGGCAGCGGGAGCAGCCCCGGTGCAGAAAGGCCACGCCGTGTCCGGCTCACCGGGTGGCTTTGGGACAACATCCGAAACGCCCTGGGCCCGTTTCCTCAAAAGCGATGACAGCCGCGTGATAAACGCGCTCCCSAGCGCTGCCTGCAGAGCACCAATTCAGGTGCTGTGAAACGGCGCTTTTCATAGCGCAGCGATTAAAAATAGGAGTAGCGCTGGCCACGGAGCGTTCCGAGCCCGGGCAGGGACGCAGCCCAAGCGATCCCGTGTTACTCACCCCGCCTGCTCCCGAGGGCTGATGTTTTCCTGGACCGAGCTAAATGTCTCGTTTTAGCTAATCGTGGGGATGATGGTACAGTGAAACACCAGGTCATATTATATCACCCCACGCATTTCTCCATACTTCAGCCACGTGGTGGCTGTTTAACAACTTATCCCCAAACGAAATAAGCAGAAACATTGACCCGTTATTTGCTTTCAAATTTTCCTTATAGGAACTACTGACTCATTATTTGTCACTTTCTTGAGACTCCAAATGCATCCTGAGCAGCTGCAGTCCACGGCCAGGACATTTATTTCTCCTTTGTTCTGCATTGACTTTCGCATCTTGCCTGGCTTTCAGTGATTTGTGCCACAAGCAAGCGACAAACATTTTGGTGGCAAACATTTTTGGTGACAAAATCAGTCCTCACAGACGGTGAAGCAACAAAACCAAACTCTACTTGTGTGTTTCTGAATAAACAGTGATCAGCCCTGACCCATCCCTTTGACAGACACATCTTACTTTCTGTCCTTGCTTTTACCAGCTGTGTGGCAATATCAACCTTGCTTTCTCTGTGCCATACAACTAACTCAGAACTAGCTCTTTGTGGGCTTGTTTTTCCACACTTTTTGCTCTAAAAATATTTTCTTGAGCATTTCACAAAGCTTTACTAATTGCACTGTCCTTCAGTCCATGTGTTAGCCATAACTTTTCTCTAAGAGTATCGTGTTTAAAGTCACAACCACTGTGTTCCTGCCAGTGTATTCCTCTTAACTTACAGGAAACCTATGAATGAGGTATGATACCATGAATGATACTATTAATCACTTTATTGCAACTGCACCCAGGAATCCCATTCACTGTCAAGACCTTGTTACGCAAGTGCTGTACGTATATGAAAACAGTCTCCAGCTTCAAAGGGGCTGCAAGCCTTTGTAAAAGCCTCCTGAAGTTTTCTGTGAACTTGTTACTGTAAGAACAAAAAAAAATTACATATTTCTTCTTGGAACAAAACGCTTCTCAAACTTTTAGAAGAGTGATTCATGTTTACTCTTATCTCCCTCCAGAGGAAAAAGAAAATGAGTTTAGGAATATTTTCARCCTTAGTCCCCGTCGGATGAATTTGAGGGAGCTGACCTGAGATTCTCTGCTGTGCACAGCATCCATCCGTGCCACAGCCCTTTCTCCGATGAGTCACTGGACCTCACAGACCCAAAGTCTTGGGAATGACCCAACTTCAGCATCTCCCCCTTTCTCTTTCTTCCCTTTAAGATTCCTTTTGTGCTCCCTATTGCCATATAATTTAGTTAGAAATAAAGTAAACTGTGGAGAGCGTTCAAYTCCTGTAATCCTTGCAACAGAGAAAACTTTATTAACCCTGAAATGGCCAGAGCCCTTCAGCCCTGGGGACTCTGAACAGTGTCACTGCATCATTGGTCCTACAGGATCTTGGGGTCAAGGGGCTGTTTTGGGTGCAGGGGGCTCCAGGACACGAGCAGGGAATGCATTCTCACACATTCACAYACATTCGAAGAGGAGGATTGTTTTCAGTTTATTCCTACCCCCGGTGGGGGCTGTGCTGTCCCCTCCTCTGGGAAAACAAGGTGCCAGAGAATTTCTCAGAGACACTGAGGTGGCTTTGCCCTGTGCTGCCCCACCCTCCACCCCATCCACAGCCCTGCCCTGCCCTAATCCCCCACAACCACCCCCTACCCTTAAAACCTTCCCTGCCCACCCCATCCACCAACTCCTGCCCCTGTTTGAACTCTTCCCACGCCCTCCTCCTCATGTCCCCAGTCATTCCCCATCCCTAAACCTTCTGCCCTGTCAGCCCCTGCCCCTAAACCTGCCCCTATAGGTACACACACATTCCGCCACCCCCTTCCCCTAAACCTTCCTCTCCAATCACCGTCACTAAAACTGTTCCCCTACCGCTAAACCTCCCTTCCTCTCCTCCCTGCCCCTCAATCTTCCCCCTTTTCCCAAGCCTCCCTCCTGCATCCCTTTGCCCCCAAATATGTTTATCCACACATATCCTCTGTCATGTTTTTTCCTAAACCTCCCCCTTCCCCTAAACCTTCCAACTGCAGCACCCTGTCCCTAAAACTGCCCCAATCCACACACATCCTCCACCTTGCCCTGCCCCTAAATCTCCCCCCACCAGCATTTTGATCCTAAATTTCTCCCGCTAGCCCCCTCGACCATCCCCTATCCTATTTACACTTCCCCTCCCCTCTGCCCCACAGTCTCTTCCTGCCACACTCTTGTCCCTAAACCTGCCYCTATCCACACACACCCTCTGCCACCTTCTGGCCCTAAAACTCCACCTCCAGCTCCTGCCCCTGAAACTGCCCCTATACACATACACACCGTCAGCAACCTCCTACCCCTAAATCTCCCCCCCACCGCAGTCCTGTGTTCCTAAGCCTGCCACAGGCACTCTCTGCACACTTTCTCCCTAAATCTCTCCCTCCAGCCCCTGCTCCTAAACCTTCTCCCAAATCTCCCTCTACAGTCCCCTGCTCCTATGTACAGACATCTTCTGTTCCCAAATCACCACTCCCACATTCTGCCCCTAAACCTGCCCCTAACCCCACACACCTTCACTCCCGCCCTCTGCCCCTAAATCCCCACTCCCACGCTCTGCTCCTCTCCTCCGCAGACCCCTGCCCCTAAACCTGCCCCTAACCGCACACACCTTCTCTGCCCCCTCATGCCCCTAAATCTCCACTGCCACTCTCTGCCCCTACACCTCCCTCCGCAGCCCCCTGCCCCTAACCCTGCCCCTCTCCKCCCGCGTTCCCAGCCCTCCCCCCGGGCCTCCCCGCGGGCGCGGCCGTGACGGGCAGCGCCGCTCCCCACTCAGCGCCCGCGGAGCCCCCGCGCCGCACCGCCCCCTCCAGCCCCTTTGTATCCAACATCCGGGTTTCCCCGCTGGCTCCGCGCTGGCTTCTCCCTTTTTTT